TGCAAACAGGATACTAAGCATCTCCCTCACCACCATGTGCTCTAATTCCTCTCCCCCAGCCCCCCCCCCCGAAAGGCTAGGCCTTTAGCACACCTTGCCTTCCCTCCCTCTCCCCTCAGGAGAGGCCCCTGGAGTGTTTCTGTTAACCTGAACTCCCTTCCTTGGACCTAATTCCTGAGGAATGCAGAGAGAGCTGAGTACCTGTGACTGTCGGTGGTGATTAGATGTTTCCTTGCAGGATCCTCAGTCTCTTTCAAGAGTCATATTTACCATTTAGACCAGGGGTGGACAGATAGCTAGAGGCCCAATTCTGCCCGGTATCTGTTTTTGTATGGTCTTCCAAGCTAAGGATGTTTCTCTGTTTTCTGGTGTGTTGAAAAACATCCAAAGAAGAACATTTCACGACCTATGAAAACTCTAGGACGTAAATTCCCGCGTCCATGAATAAACTTTCACAGGCACCTCACCGCACCTACTTGTCTCTACCTTGTCTGCAGTGGCTTCCGTGCCATGGTGGCTGAGCTGAGCGGCTGTGACAGGGACCCAGGAGCTCTGGGTGTGGTGGCTCCATGGCACCTCACCCAACTACCTGTTTTACCTCTTCATTTTTACCGCTGGGGCGTCAGCGCTGTGTCAGAGCAGGCAAAGTGGGCCTCAAATGTCACACTTTTAGCCGTGCTCAGTGAGGTGTGGATGGCTCTTTTGTCACATGACAAGACTCTGTGTTCGTTACTGGCTGTGATGATACAATATAGCACACATTGACATCACAACATTCCCAGCTCACAGGGGCAAAAATGAGATGATTCCAAGCAGTGCATCTCATCCGAGCAGAATTTCTTCACAAAACAACAACAGCAGAGAGAGAGAGGGAGAGAGAGAGAGAGGGGAGAGAATAAGCTTATAATCAAAGTAAGTTTCCAAGTGGCTCATTTGTTAGCCAAGCAAAGGAAAGCCATTTACTGGTGGTAAGTTAATTAAATTATGTTTGATTGCAGCAGCTAAAAAGAAAAAAAGCATCCAGAGAAAACAAGTGGATTTAAGATGATTAGATTTGGGGCAAGACTGGTTGCTTGGCCGTGGCCTAGAGGCTGTAGACACTAGATGACACGGATGAGGGAAGCCGCATCTACAGGGAGCCTGCCCCAGCGTGGGGGGAGCAGGCGACGCAGAGCACAGAAGAGAAAACCTGGGGACGGCAGATGGCCGGCCTCTCTGCATGCCATGCACTGTCCTCAGCATTCTGGATCTCCCTCCCGCGGCTCCCTGTTACTTTCTTTCTAGAACTTTCTAGGACATACTACCTGGAAGTGTCTAAGGTACTGCTCCTTGTCGAGCCTCCCCCATGAGAACAGTATGTTCTTGCTGTTCCCCAGTGCCTGGCACACGCAGGAGCCGCGGAAACACCTAAATATGCGAACGAGTGGTGTCTTTTACGCAACAGGCTCGGGACTGTGCGCCGTATAGTCCGCCCAGGTGGAGAATGTTCATTCAGCACACATCTACACAGGCTGCGCCTTCCTTGGTGACAAGTGGAGACGGTCTCGGAGGCCTGAGCTGAGCTCCCAGAAAGCTGTCTGGGTTTGAGAGCAGACGCCACGAGCTCACCCAGCATCAGCGAGCACGGGCCGGGAACTGGCTCACTGTGGGGGTGAAGGACCTGCCAGGAGACTGTGTTTAACGGTTTCAAGGTGGCTCGGCCTCGTGGACACGTGTCTGAATGGAGGCGTGTGGGGGGCGGCGTGGTAGTCGTGATGCGTCCAGGGATCTTCGGAGGCAGGCAAAGCACTGCTGGGCAAAGATCGGCCGCGGGTACTCCCTGCCCTCGCCAACCACACCCAGCAGCCGGTCTGAGTCTCAGTTCACTCCCCAGACATGCCGCTCCCAGCAGTCCTGGCCGGCTGCTGCCGGGGCCGCCGGGGCCGGGGGAGAGATCGTGAAGCCCTGGGGAAAGGGCTGCAATATCATCCTGGCCCAAGATCTAGGGCTTTACGGACTAAGCTCTCTGCAAATGTCTGTGCACTCTGAGTCCCGCTCAGAGCCCATGGTGTTGCGTCTTGGGGCAAACCAGGCCACGCGTTAGTGACACTAGGAAACCTTCCCCCGCCCCCTGGGCTAGACTCGATCTCACATAGGAAGCCACACGCTGCCATGGCTCTTTCAAACCACCCTGAGATGAGCGCTGCTTGCTACTCGGACGCACGAGGACATGGAAGTGAAACGGGCGCGCGAGGTGTACTGCAGCTACTGGGCACAGCCAGACTCTGAGCGCAGGCTGTGTGTGGCTCCCAAGGTCAATGCCTCACCTGCCTTCCAGGGAAGGATAGTCTCCCACCAACGAGCCTCCCATTTCTTAAGAGCACACGAGCCTCTCAACTCACTGGACGGAACCGACCTGGCAGCTGGAAGGGTAAGCGCACAGAGGCCAGTCGGGCCTGGGTTCCGATCCTGACTTTACCGCCCTGGGGCCCTGGGCAGCTTGCTGCACCTCCCCCGGGGCGGGTTTCTAGTGCGACGGCCTCTGCAGAGGGGCCCTGGTGGCCTGAATTCGGGGTAGGAAGAACACTAATTTTTTCTGAGTAACTCTTTGTGTTGTTTGGGTGATTTTTTACCATGTGGCCATATCGCTTTTCTCAGTTACATATAATTTTAGGAGGAAAAAAGTGGTTTATTTAATAATTTTTTAAAAAATACAAAGGAGGGACACCTGGGTGGCTCAGGTCACAATCTCAGGCCCGCGTCAGGCCCTGAGCCTGCTTCGGATTCTATGTCTCCTTCTCTCTCTCTCTCTCTGCCCCTCCCCACTCACACTCTCTCTCGCTCTCAAAAATAAACATTAACAAAAATTAGAAAAAAAAAGTACATAGGAAAAGTAATACTTCCTCCTTGGATTTTGACAAGGATTTAAACCAGCGTGTGCAGCTGGTAGTGGCGCACAGCAGGTGCTGCATACGCACAGGAGGGACGGGGTGGAAGCCGGGGCCCAGAAGGCGGCCTGTGGGACAGAGGCCTCCGCTCAGCCGGAGCCTTAAGGGGCTGGTGGGGGGGCTGGGCGCTCGTGCCTTTGCTTCCTGGTCCCGGGACCCTCCACACGCACCCACGGCCCCGCCCGCAGCCGTCCCTGGTGGACTTTCTGCTCAGGTGTCTTTGTGGGGCCTGTGGACTGTGAATCTGGGGCTCCGGGGCCTCCACTTCTGGCCTCCCTGCACTGAGCAGGGAAGGCTCGGCGGCCCCACGGATGCCCCGGATTGGTGGCAGGGTCTGGGTCGACTCGCCGCCTGGGCCCTCCCTGCTGCCCTTGGGAGGCAGGAGTCCCTGGACAATATGCCCAGGCCCACACTCCTCATGCTCACAGGAAGGAGCGGCCACAACGGCCTCCGTGGGCAACTGGACCCGTGAGCTCATGGGACATTTCCGCACGACTGACGCTTCCCCAGAGAGCAATGATACGTCACGACACTGCTAGTGAGCCAAGCCAGACAAACGAGCGATGTGCCCTTTATCACCTTTGCGCTCGGCATCGCAGGGCTGGCCCGGGGCTCACGGAGCCCTTGAGTGGCCCCACGCCCGGTCCCTGAGCCCGCCCGGTGGCCCGGGGAGTTTAGGCTGCTGCTGTGCAGGTGAGGAGACCAGCACGCACAGGGGACGGGCCCTGTGCAGAGAGAGCAGAGGGGGACGCGGACAGGGCCCTGCCCCAGGACATGTGCAGGGAGGCGAGGCGGGGCCACCCCACCCGCCTGGCCAAGTGGGCAAGGCCGGCCTTGCCGTGGGAGCCCTGAACCGACAAGGCTGAGCATCCCGAGCTTCTGACGGATACGAGCGGGTGAGCAAGAAGCTTCTACTGACTCCCTCCACAGAGGGCGGGTTGGTTCCAGGCAGGAGAAGGGAGCAGGCCGGACCACAGGGAGAGACCCAAGACAGCGAGGAGGGGAGTGGGCGTTTCCACGGTGACAGGGAGTGCCGGGGGACAAAGATCTGGAAGGATCCGGGGATCTGGAAGAAGGGAAGGAGGCAGCGCGGGGGCTGCCGATGGGATCCCAGCACTGACTGGTGCCCAAGGCCCTGCCACTTGCTCCTGGGCGCCTGCTTGGTAAGGAGCAGACACCACTGGAGCCCAGGCTGATGCGGGCAGGGCCGCACCGCGGGGGGGGGGGCGACCCTCACTTTGCTAAGAAATAGAAGTGCAGGCCTGGGGGGCTCGGGCAGACCCTGGGGGGCCTAGGTCCCCAGCCCTGAGGTCTTGTCACCACCGTGCTCACCCGGGACCACCCACAGCCACCCCTGCCCCACAGGGGCGCTCCCAGGGAGCAAGGTTTAGACGTCCCTCACCCACACCTTCAGGACCCGGAGGCGGGATCCCCAGTGTAGACCTACAGGGATGACGGGAGGCAATGCAAGGATTTCTGGGCCTTCAGGCTCCAGGCTCCCCTACAAAGGGCCATGAACCATACTGACTCCTGCACGTCTAAAGTGAGGATGCATCGGGGACGGGGACCTCAGGAGGCCAGCGGGACCCCCCCCTCACCTTCTTGTACCTTTCCGCCTCTTGCCCTCGGGCGTCCCCGCCCCCAACGGCTGAGGCCACTTGTAGACAGGCCCGCCCCGCAGGGACCCACGGCGCTCCCTCCGTGAACAGGATCCGCATGGGGCAGCCGCCCTGCCTGATGGAGGCTCAGCCCCACGGAGGCTGCGAGGGGCGGGGCCAGCGGGCAGCGAGGGGCGGGGCCCGACCCCTGGCCGAAGTGCCTGTGGGAGGCCCCTGTGGACCCTCCCCCACCGAGGCCGAGGGCGGGGGGGGGGCGGCTGGGCGGGGTCAGGCCCCGGGCTGTGACTGTGGGCTCAGAGAGCCCAGGCCGCCCGGCCACACAGGGCCTCAGTTTCCCTGTTTCAGAGCCTGAGAAGCTGGGGCCGGAAGTCCTCCCGGTCCCCTCGGACCCCAGCCGCGCCCCTCCCGGCCGTCCGGCCCCGCGAGGAAGGGGGCGGGCAGGCAGGCTACGTACCCGCTCCACGAGGCCCTGCTTGCACTTGAGCTTGTACACTCTGAGCCTGGGCAGGAAGCTCGCGGCGTAGTCCCGGTCCTCCAGGCCGCGCAGCAGGACGCCGTGGAACGCCAGCCGGCACGTGCTGGCGTGGATGTCCGCGTCGAGCCTGGAGCCGATCACCAGGCACAGCCGGGGGCAGGTGACGGGCTTCTCAAACTCCACGAGCGCCCACTGCTGCCGAGGGTGGCGGCCTTCCGCGGCCGGGCCCGTCTCCTTGTCGGCCCCTCCGCCGTCTGTCGCCACCGGCGCCAGATCCTGGCTCAGATACTGCTCCTGGAAGAGGTACTCGCGGGAGAGGTCGAAGGAGTCTAGCACAGGCTCACGGTCAAAGTCATCGGGGGCAGGGCTGAAGAACAGCATGCGGCCCATCACCGTCTCATGGCCCACTGTGATGTGGAACTTGGCCTTGGTCTGCAGGGGCCCCCGGAAATACGGGATCTTCTCCACCGAGATGAGGGCCGCGTGGACCGTGTGCAGGGACTCGGGGGCGCACACCAGGCCGCGCTCCAGCAGCTTGGGGTCAAACTGGGTGACACAGATGCCCAGTCGGTCTCCCTGCATGGCTGAGGTGACAGGCGTGTGAAACATCTGCATGGACTTCACCTTCTTCACCACCTGGGGTAGCAAAAGAGAAAGCGAATGAAGCAAAGCGCCTTGAGGCAGGAGGGAGGGGCTCCAGCGGGAGAAGTGCCTGTCCCCATGCCGCCACGGGGGCACCGGGGTGGTCAGACTGCCCTTGGCCAGAGCAAGCTCCCCACAAACACAGGGCGCGGGTCCACAGAGCGCCCGGTCCAGCACCAAGTGTGTGTGGGGGGGAACACGGCAGCCCAGACCCGGGCTACCTCAGCTCCCTCCGTCCTCTGAGTCCCCAGGCTCCACGCCAGCACTTTGTTGCCTCGAGCCCTCTGTACAGGCTTGCCACCGCACGCAAGATGGACGCCCAGGTCCTCAGCCTGCCAAGCTCTGACCCCCTGTCCTGGAAAGCCCGGGCCAAACACCCCTGCCGGACTCGGAGCGGGCAGGACCTGTCCCTTTCTCCCTGGTGCTCACGGCCCCTCTGCGTCATACAGATTCTCTGCCATCAGGGCCTACTCTGCGCCGGCCTGCCCGCTAGCCGTGGGCTTCTCTGGGGCAGGCCACTCCTCGCCCACTGGACACACAGTCCCCAGAGGACGCAGTGTGCCAGGGACTGTCCTGCGGGTGGAGACAGAAAAACAACCAAACTAAAAACACATCAATATGGACGAGGTCTACATCGACAGAACTGACATACAAAACCTTACATGCAACTATAACAGTAATTACATATGTATGTAACATGATTATGTATGTGTATTATATGCAGCATGCTATATGATATATAGTATGTATAATATAGTATACGTAGTACGTATGGTTTATGTAATACTGTACGTAGCATGCTGTATTACACAGTACATGTGTTCGTACAGAACATCGAGAGCAGGCCCAGGGTTGGGGAAAGGTGTGGCTTCTCAGAGCGGTGGCCGGGGAAGGCTTCTGCACAGGTGATATCCGAGCTACCACCTGATTCTGAGACGTTGTGTGAAGGTCCAGGAGAAGAGAGCTCTGCACTGAGGAGCTGATGAAGGTACAGGCTGGGATGGAGGCTCCGTGAGTCAGAGGAATAAACAAAGAGGCAGGAAGGCTGGAGCAGGGCAGGCAGGGAGGACGGGGAGGGGAGGGGAGGGGAGGGCAGGCGGGAAGTCACTGAGGAGTTTAGGCAAAGGAGTAACCTGACCTTATCTCTGTTTGGAAACCATAACGCTAACGACCACGCTGGGCAGATCGCTGCACCCCCAGTTTGTAAATCAGGAACAGACATGGAAAGGCTCTAATAAACATTTGTGAAACCAAGGGACGCTCCTATGAAGAGCCACTGTCAGAGAGGAGAGGAAGTCACAGTTGCAGATTTCTGCTTAGTGCAGCGGAAAGATGGGCACTGTATTTCAGAAAACCCGCCGTCCAAGCCCGTTAAGTTAAAGACGCTTTGGCCTGTAGGTCTCCGGCCTCCCCGTCTACAAGGCCTGGGTACGCGGAGCTCCTCCTTCTCCCTGGATGAGCTGATCCCGGGCGCAGGAGGCCGGGCCCTTTCCTGGGGAGCCATAATACTCAAGTGTTTGTTTAAAGATCATTAACTACCTAACCACGAGGTCAGGGGGCAGAGAAAGTGAGAAGTGTGGTGTCAAAAGCCACAGCCAAGATCAATCAAGGAGAAACCTAAAACACCTCTAAAACAGTCCACGGGGGCGACGGGAAACTAGGGTTTTCAGGAATGCACCTCAGAATGACTGGAGAATATTGTCTCAGACTCAGCGTCTGCCCAGAGAGGCGGGCCCCGGATCGCAGCCCTTCCCCGGGGGCCCGCGGCCGCCTGCCGGGCTGTCCCCCCGCCCCCCGCCCACTCCCGTCCCCAGCCTGGCTGTCCCCCCGCCCACTCCCGTCCCCAGCCTGGCTCTCCGAAACACATGGTGGCACCGACCCCTCCCCACTCCAGACGGAGCCGGAGCCGCGCTCGGCCGCTGTGTGCCTCCGAGTCTCCACTGAGTTAAATTACAATCTAGTAAGTACCCGCGGCCCCGTCGCGCGCCCTGAGAACTACAGCAGCACCAGCAGCGCCAGCTCCTTCTGTGCCCTCCCCGACCTGGTCCTCCTGTGGCCCGCCCGCCGGACTTGGCGTGTGGCATTCCTGTCTTCGCACACACGCGTGTGCACGACTCAGCAGAGCTCACCACGTGCACCTAATCAATACTTTGCTTGGTCTGCCGAGGGTTTGAACTTCGGGGTGGGTGCCCGTGCTGCCCACAACCGCAGTGCATTTGTTGCTGATGCTGCGCGGCGCACATGGACCCCCAGCCGGGCCCCTAGTGACCCGCCCATGGGTCATTCCCAGTCTCGAGGGAAAAGGATGCAGCGATTCCCTCTGGCGCGAGGGCTCTGCCCGGCGCTCGGTGCAGAGAGGGTTCTGGAAGGCACGGGTCCCAGCCCGAGGCTGCTGGGTCTGGGCTGGGGGTGAGCGCTCCTGGCTCCTAGATGAACAAAGTGCCCACGTACGTGTCCCCCACAGGCCAGAGAGTCCTTTTCCAACATTGCGCATGGCCAGGTTTCCTCACTTTTGCCTATCGATTTATTTTATTTTATTTTGGCCTTTTAAACCCTGAAGACAGAAGCCATGTTCCCACCGCCACATCCTTAGCGCCCGGCACAGAGGGCGGCAGACGAAGGCTGCTCGTGGCCGCCCCAGTTACGTGCCCAGCCCGTCTGCAGGGAACGGCTGTATTTGATTCTGGAAGAGAGACGCGCCCCCCCCCCCCGCCCCTCCCAGGAAAATCACACCTGGCAAAGCACGGAGCCGAGGCCCCAGACCGGCCAGGGCCTGAGCGAGAGCCTTGTGTTTACGGTGCTTCCTGTGACAGAGGGGCCTGCACCACCCCGACAGCCCCCTCCCCACCCATCGGGTCCATCTCCAAGCAGCCTCATTAAATGCATGTTCTCTTAGGACTGCGTTCTTAGGACTGAAGTAATGAAGAACGCCTTACGAGGGCACCGTGAAGAGCAGAGACAATCACTGGGCAAATCAAGATTTCAAGGCCCCAGACAGGAAATTGTGAAACCGACAGAGATGGGGACGGGGCGGCGTGGCGCTGCCGTGGCTGCTCGGGGGTGCACGCGGACGGCAGCGCCACGCCGGCTTATCGCCAGGCCCACACGCACATGATATCCATCAGGAAGGTAAGATCCCGTCTAGGACGAGCGGGAAGCAGTGGACTTTCCCACTGGAGCCCCCGGTGGCCGGGTGTGGGTGCAAGTGACACCGCAGGCCGGGAGTCCGTCTGTGCGGGCCAGGGTCTCCCTCGCCCCACACCCGGTCTGTCCGCGCAGCCCCGCACCGCACTGCTGCACAAAGAACTCCTGGGGTACCTTCCTTTGCTGGCGTCCCTATTTTCTTTCTTGCTTCTCCGCCCTGGGTAGCCAGTGACCTTTCCAAAGTACCCGGTTAGCAGGTGTCATTCTGCTCAACCCCAGGCCACCACTGCCACCAGGGGCTTCTGTTGTCCTTCCCACGGTGACGGTGGCTGCCCTGCGTCTCCAGCTCCCTGCCAGCCCACCCGCCGCCTTTCAGGCCCTCAACCAGGCCACGCGCCCTCCCGCCTCAGGGCCTCCAGCCCGCTCTGCTCCTCCCCCTGCCTGGATCCCCCGTGGGTGGCTTCTTCTCTTCCCTCTGGTACCACCTCCTCTGGGAAGCTCTCCCTGCTGACCCAGGAAGGATTACATCCCGCAGCTATTCTCTCTTATAACACCCCTCTGTGGTTTTGCAATTCTGACTTTATGAACTGATGATCTTATGAACGTCTGCCCCGCCCCTGACGGTAGACTCCAGAGTCCGTTCTGCTCCCCCCTTATCATTCCAGGGCCTGGGCCTCTGCTCCACGAGAGAAACTTGATAAGGGCGTGTGGAGTGAGGGCACCCACAGTGCGTCGGCCCTCACCTGGGGTCACTAAATAGGAGCGAGTTGTTGAATAGATGGACGGAATCTCTCAAAGTTGCCTAGAAAATGAGAGGAAAGTCCGTTTCCCTGCAGCCCGGTCTCCATAAAGCAGCTTAAATATAAGGTACGACTCTGCAGTTTCGGCCTCCCTCTCACTCTGAACACTAACGTCCTTGCTAGGACCCCGGGCTCCTGTCACTTCTCTGACTTTATTTGCTGCGTTTCCCCCCGCAGCCCTCATTCACATCGCTTTGGTCACATGAGCCTTCCTACTTCCTGTTCCCGAAACAGACACCAAGTGTTCTCCTACCTCAGGGCCTTTGCGCTTGCTAGCGCCTTTGACTGGGATGTTCCTCCCCGTGTATACCTATTTCTCTTTTCCTTGTTTCCTTCCTATCTGCTCAGATGTTTCTTAACATTTATTCATTTTTGAGAGAGACAGAGAGTGAGCAGGTAAGGGGCAGAGAGAGAGGAAGACACAGAATCCGAAGCAGGCTCCAGGCTCTGAGCTGTCAGCACAGAGCCCGACGCGGGGCTTGAACTCACCAACCGTGAGATCATGACCTGGGCCGAAGTTGGACGCTTAACTGACTGAGCCACCCGGGTGCCCCTCTGCTCAGATGTTTCTTTATCAGAGTCCATCCTTGGGGCACCTGGGTGGCTCAGTTGGGTAAGCGTCCGGCTTTGGCTCAGGTCACGATCTCCCGGTCTGTGAGTTTGAGCTCCACGCTGCGGTCTCTGCTGTCAGTGCAGACCCTGCTTCCGATCCTCCGTCCCCCTCTCTCGCTGCCCCTTCCCCACTTGTGCCCTCGGTCTCTCCCAAAGTAAAGAAATAAACTTCTTCAGAGTCCATCCTTGACCCCACGATGAGAACTCCCTACTCCTCTCTCTTTCCGTGTGTCACTTTTCTTCTGAGCACCCGCCACCGCCCTGGCGCATACAGGTTTCCTGGCGGCCTCTCCCACGCTGGAACGGAACCCCCATGAGGGTGGGGGAGGTGTTTATCTGCAGCGCCCGGCGCACAGGGGCCCTCGGCGCGAGGCTGCGCACTGAGCGGATGGAGCCGCGGACGGACGCAGCACTGCCCCTGCCCCCCGGGAGCTCAGC